AGGTTTGTTCTGCGTTTGTGTGAAGTAAACCTGGGCTGCAGAGTAAGCGTCCTGGGAAGCCTTCTTGCCTTGGGAGGACAGTCACACTGGTGACTTCCCAGCACGGCAGGAATCATGGCAGAGGCAGCAGAAAAGACAAAAATGCAAACCGTTGGTGGTCCTGGACAGATACAGTGGCTGGCAGGGTGTTAGGTTTCTATCTAAAACATATATATATGCTGACCATCCAAGTTGTGGCTTTGCTTTTGCTTACCACATTCTGACCGCTAAAGGTAACTCCAACAAGATAAACACCAGGGAGAAAGAGGTGAACTCAGTGAACGAATGAATGAACCAACTCATGTCTGTACTAGCAGCTAGTGAGCAAGTCAAACCTCCAGTAAGGAAGGACACACACTCACACTTTGGAGTATCTCACTATCTGCCTTTGGGTAACTCTACACCCTAAGGGATGGAAGTTGGTAAGGGGTGGGTACACAAGACTCAGTTCTTGCTACGGCCAGTTCTGTCAGTTGGATTACTTGGTGTTTTAGGTATAACTAAGAATTTACCATTTCCCCAAATGGGGGCGGGCAGTCACTAGGAAAAAGCAAGTGTTTGAAAAGAAGAGATGGAGCAGGGTCAAGAGTGACCCCTGACTACGTGGGGGCTGTAGCATCATAGTCCTAATTGGAGGGAGGTATGGAGGTGGCTCTGGTGTTCAGCTCAAACAGCTACATTCTAAAGTACGAATGGGGGCAAAGTCAATATAAAAACTATGCCACACCCAAGTCAAACCGGTGGTGATGCTTCCCCTTTAGTCATGGACAAGAGGACAGAAGGAGAATACTTACGTCTGGGGCTGTGAAGGGTCGTCACCCAGGGTGACATTCTCCCCCTGGATCTCTGTGAAACACTTCTCACAGAAGTGATACCTGTCAGCAAGAAGGCCATACTTGGGTGAACTGGTCCATCATAACACACAGCCACCCAAGCAACGAAGCCACCAATCAGAGCAGGGCAGATCACCACGACGAAGGGGGGGCGTTGTTGGTTGATTGATGGGTCAGTGAGGACAATGGAAGGCACAGGGGCAGGTGGGGAGGGCAGGATTAGAGAACAGGGAAGGGAACAAATAGCACAGACAGAAAGGTAAGACGCAAACACGGAGACAACACAGAGCAGAAAGCCAAGGCAAAGCATCGATTAGCATTCGGTCTCATCGCACACATCACAGGCCATCACCACTAACAACGACTGGCTCAATCCAGCTCCAAGATGCAGATGTTTGCAAGGAGTAGTTAATACTATACTTGCAAGGAGCCTAAATTTAGGAGTTTGAATTTCATTATTACTTAGAGAAAATCAAATGTAACTCCAGGGTTTGAGATGGAAAAATTTTACTTTGAACACAACAGTCTGACAAAAGGCCTTTTAAAAAAACAATTTAAATGAAATAGTTTTTTGTTTTTCAAAATAGAGAATTTATGCTTGACAGCAATTAAGAAATTGTATTTCCAGTATTAAGCCAGATCTTTAAAGGTATGAAAATGTTGAGCACCCAGAACTGGTTTTAATTTTTTCCTGTTATTTTCTCACGTTGATCATTTAAATTGGGTTATATACAAATGAAACCAAATCCATATTCTAGACAAACATTTAACAGAAATGCAATCGGGGTCAAAGACTTTCCAGCCATTTATCAATAAGAATATACAGAGAAAAAACTGTGATATATTGTATAAACAATACAATATATGTAAATCCATGAACAATCTTAAAAAAGACTTTAAAATTCAGTTCTAAGCTTTGATTTTAACTTTTTGGTCTTGGGACCAATCATTCATCAATCTGAGATACTCAGTGATTTGACTGCTCTGACTTGGTGACAATCCAAGTTAAGCAAATTTAGATAATCTTTAAAGCACAATCTGCATTTGAGAAATTATCCATCACCCCAATTTCTTGTACAATAACACAGAGCCTGGGCTCAAGCTATTAAATAAGAACAATTAAAATAAACTATTAAATGTTTGGAAAGGACATGAAGGAGAAATCAACGGAAGTGCAGGCTGATGCTGCCTGCAACAGAATGGGCACACAGGGACGCTGTAAGAATCAGCAAGCTGGATGAAGGTGGATCATACGAGCCAAAAGGACGAGTGTAAGATAGCGACAGCAGCACAATCAGATGCGGTTTTAGTGCTCAGAACTATGTCTACGAGATGCCAAGAGGATTAGTGTTAAAGACACTGTGACGGGACTTGGGCACCACAGACCTGCCAAGCGCAGGAGGAGATGCAGAGACTTGCAGTGTCACTCATGCACGCACACACAGCTGCAAGCAACCGGGGTGCTGGCCACTGTGTCTTCATTACCACTAAGCAGGTCCCCCAAAAGTTCTAATTCTGATCTTAATTAAACACACTGAGCATTTTATCTGCTTTATTTCAGTGGCCAAACATGTACAGTAAACTAAAAGCATAAAATTTTAGAGCATGCACACATCTCAAGATTATCCAATTCTTCAGTTTGTTGATAAGGAACATGACAGATTCACTGTGGGTTGCAACTGGATTAATGAAAGTTTCTTGCTGGGACCAGTTTGTTTACGACTAATTCAATCAATAGATTCTGTCAAGATTAAAAACTGACCAGGAACAAACAGATTAACTATGCTGGGTTTTTTTTGCTTTGGAGAAAAAATTTATCTTTTGTTCTGAATGAACTCCAGCAATACTCTGGTTATTGACTATTTTGTAAATGTTCTCAGGGAGCCTTGATATCATGTAGTGAGGAGAATTTCCACACCCAGGAGGCATGAGTGTCACCCGCAAGAAAGAAGCAAAGTACGGCAACAACAAGCCAATTCAGGGGCACCAGAACGACACGTAAAAAGATCCCCATCACGCCAAACACTTTCCTTTTACACATACAACTTGAAATTGAGCGTTCCAGTTCCTCTTATGGCCAAACATACAGCCCCCACGGGCTAGCAAGAAGAGGACCCCTCAACAGATTTTGAAATGAGATTGCCACAATGATTACATGTGAGCCTAAATGGTTTTGAAATCCTGGACAATTCTTAGCTTTTATTCAAGCAGGACATCAAGCCCAGCCACATCCAGGAAACAAACTCCATAAACCCATCATTTTCCAGTGGAGGAACCTGGCCCAGAATGAAGCATTTGATGGTTGAATGGCAGGCCCTGGAGCGCCCGCAGAAACCTACTCTCTCTTGTGTGTGGGCAACTCCCCCCCCTGAAGAGCCTTAGGGTCAGGAACTGGGAGGGACAGAGAGTTAACACTCCCTAGCACCTGTCCCAAAGCAATGCCAGAGACACTAGAGAGCCGAGAACCTGTTCAGGTTTAAGAAAGGGAAGGGAAGAGCCGGGTCTCACATCAGTGCCCTTCTGAGAACTGACAACAGCCCTTAGAAGGAGTGCAGGTGTGCATGTAGTCAAGTGGGCTGACAACCACCCTGGCAACTGGCGGGTGACAGATGTTAATGCCAGACTGCCCCTACCTTACCTTGTCTGAACGTTGCCCACCCTGGAAACCCAAAAGGGCTCAGAAGTTCACTTTTCAATCTTAAGAGCCTGCCTGACATTCTGCCTCAGGTGAAGGAAGCAGTTTGATGAATATGGAATTGCAAAGAAGAAATACTTTACATAATCTGATGATGATGAACATCTGGGTACCTAAGTTAGCACAACGTAACTGCATAGTTTATCTGTAAGGGTAATTTAACATATGGAGTAAATTTTCAAATGCAGATTGTTCTAAGTACCATATCAGTATATATAAATTAACTGGGGTACCCACAGATAATATCTATTAACTAGAAAATCTACAGAATAGTTTTCCCAACATGAGCTTTTAAACTTTCCAAGCATGATAACAAGTGAAAATGTAATCATATGGTAGTTTATATATTAGTTTTTTCACTTGTTCAAATTGTTTGTAGGATTTTCTTTTGTTCTAAGTGCCCGAACAGTTTAGGATGTAAGTGTCCAAGTAATTATTCAGAGGAACACCACGGTGTTCATAAATGGTCAAAGTTGAAAATAAAACTGTATAAGCAGTTACAATGTCCATTGTAGAATTAGGCCACACTTTCCTTAGAATTACATGTTAATCTAAGAAATTATGAGTACAGCATTCTAGAAAGCACAGCTCATGAGATTAAGCTGAGGAGTGGTATGCCTACACTTAAAAAATGTACCATTAGTATAACAGAACTTTCCTTAAGTTTCTACTCTAAAGAAAAACAGATGATTTTCATTCACTAAAAATGAAATTCTACATAGAAATAAAATTGGACATTTCAGAACTTTCAAAATAATCCTATGGTTGTACTCCATCAACAACCTCTTCTTATGAGGACAATAAGGTAGCCTGACCCTATTTATTCATTAAACTTTAACTGTTCTCAGCTTAAACATGGCCAAAGTCTGTGCAATTCAGCAAAGGCAGGGTCCCCACGGACTCAGGAACAGCGCTACAATGCACAGGCCCCAAACAGCAGAAACTGCGGCAAGCCATCTGCTGCTGCTGCTTCTAGACCCGGACTGTGTCGGGCATCCAGTAGGAGGGGCATTTTTCAGGGTATGGTTAATTTAAACCTGTTCTTTTAAATTTTCGTAATTTTATTTTGTTTGGCAGGTAACAGTTTACAAACTGAATTCCTACTCGTTATTTCCTAGGTCATGGACAACAAAGGCTATCAGGGAAGGTGTTCTGTGCCCACGGCATGGACAAGAGAGGGCGCTAAAGGCCGTGGGGCTTAGGATTGTGAAGGGAGGGGGTCAGAACCTGCAGAACACCTGCCACCAGGGGACACACCCTGCTACAAAGTGGCCCTGTCTTTTAAACCTTGTCTTAAAATGCTTATCGACAGAAGGGAGGCTTGCACCAAAATTAAATTCTAACAGTGGAATATGCGCCCCAGCACCAGCACTGCCCTGTGCCCAACAGCACCAGGACACGTGAGCTGGGCAACGCTTGGATCCTTTTCCCAACATACTTTTAGGTCAACAGTTCTTTTTTTTGAAGGAAGCTACTATACTTTGAATATGACATTAAAAAAATAATTGAACTAATTAAAAAAACATAACTGGAAGGTAATTTAGAAATTCCAAATTATTCAGGCCTGTGCATGTACCACTGAACAAGTAAGATAAACCTCTCTATTGCCTTCAAAATATTAGAACATATGTAATTACTATACACAAAGGAGATCAAGATAATCAAAACATCAAATCCTAATGTTAACACTTAATACTTGAACGTAAAGACAAAGAACAGGTACAAAGCTCCACCTTGACCACAAATTTAGCGGCTTATTCATAAAATGTAGACAATGTAACTGGAATCTGACCAGGATTTACAACCTGGGCTCCAAGGCACAGGGCCCTCATGCTGTGGTAACATGTGGCCACCTGAAGCAATGGATACAAATAAACCTCATCTGTACAAGAACCCCCAAACTTGGTAAATTGTATTTGTGTGGGGAACTGATGACAAAAAACACTATTTTCATTCTCCCTCTACTTAATATAGGAGATTTACTCTTTAGCCATCTCCCCACATTAAGAGAATGGCAAATATTTCTCAAGCAAACCTACTACTCCCAAAACCTTGCAAAGGCCATTTTACAGTAGGGGAGTTAGTCTTGAATTCAGTAAGAGCACCAGATTGTGTCCTCATTCTTCATTGTGTTACTAATTTTAAAAAGTCTATAAAAACAAAAGTTTTTATTTGCTTAATGAATTAGCACCAATGCAAATCTTTCTATCAGACCCTTCAGGCCAAATTATCTAGGCAAATATTTATAGGAGGAAAAGTAAAATACAATGTTTCAACTTTATTGGTATTTTAAAAAAGACCTGTCGTCTTTATTAGAGTAACTCTCAACTCTAGCTAGCCTCTTCTTTGGTTACATTTTAGAAGACGGACCACGGCTTAAGGACCAGATGTACCTGATCCGAGTAGTGCAGCAAGCAGCTTTGAGCTTGAAGTTTTATACTGTAAAAGCATGCTTGGGCCTGAGTGACCAAGAAATACTAAAATTGTGGCCCTTTTCTTTGGCACTTCAGGAAAGAAAGAATGTACCTAGGCTATCATCAGATGAGCATGCCTCGGCCTAAGACCTTCCTTCTGTCCTGGAATTGAGGAAACTGCTAGAGGCTTACCTATTCTGGTAGCTGTAGTAGGCGGCATCGCGAGGAATTGTACACAGCTGCTTCCCGTAGCAGCACAAAGTCTGGGGGGAAAACTCATACTGCAAAAGTAAAGGAGAAATTACTAAAAATATATCCCATTCACTATCAGGTAATATTCTAGTCCACAGTGAAGTGAGATTCAGCTAGTACAAGAGAGAGTTTTCTAACAATTTTCATAGCTATTTAAAGGCATTTTTGGTTACAATGTGACAGAATTAGTGCCTAAGAAACATGGAGAGATGGCAGTGCTTCCCCAGGGCCCTCCCCAGTGAGCACCCTTGGCTGTGATCACCTGCCACATTGCCTCAGGCAGGCAGCCGCTTCTACTAGACTCCAAACTGTGGGGGCTTCCCAGCACGCAGGTAGGGCCAGTGTCCAGTCTATCACATGATGATACCCTTCCCAAGTGGATTGATGAGGGAAGTTCCTTTTCCAGTAGAAGTTTAAACTGTACCTTGCGTCCACAGCAATATCCAAGGGACTGCATGACAGGGTCAATCTCTTGCTCAAAGACCTCTGCGAGTTTACTGCAAAACTTATAGACCCGGGACGTTTTACGATTGTACAGCCAGGCGTTGTTGAACATGAGCCAGACATCGTCCACATACTGCCAGGGCTCTTGGTACTGCCCTGTATCCAGCTTCCGCTTGATGGTGGAAAGGTCCATGGGATTCTTCACGATGTCAAAATAATCCTTAAAGACAAAACCATCTCAGTCTAGTGGGTTCCCAAAACGCCAACGCCAGCCTTACCTGGCAGCTTTCTCTTACCGTGGATATGCATTAGTTACCCTAGTGAAGTTGTGTTTTTACTCTATAACTTACTGGAATTCCTAGGAGCTGGGGATCTACTGGCTGCCGGAAAGGCAAGGACTCTGGATCCTGGCGGTACAGCGCTTCCAGGGTTGGCATAAGAGCCTGGCGTAACTCCTCCGGCTTAAAGACTGCAGTTAGAAAACATCAGGAAGCCACACTGTTTATAAGGCACTCAGAGCCCTTCCATCACGCTTCACATGGAAGCCAGGGCCCAGCTGTGGTGCTTCCACTCACCACAGGGCCCACGGACATTCTAAAGCTATGATTCAGGACTTTGAACGGCACAGTAACACTACGATTTTTAATAACTGCACCCACGAATCATGGTAAAATGAGGCAAAACATCGCACTGACAAGTTTGCTTCTTCAATGAAAGGATTTCCAGTGTTAAAAATGTGTTGGAATAGAAAATGAAGCTTACTCCCAAATCTGCTTCACCGATCCGGTGTGTGGTAATAAAGCCCAGGGAAAGGGACCTCTCCTTCTCTGAGGACATTTTTCTGTCCTTGGCTGAAGTAAACTCAGACCACCTGAGACCCAAGTATTACCACTTCGCAAAGTATACAGTATGGAGCTACGAAAACAAGGATGCTTCCCAAAGTCTGTGCTGTTCCCTCCCACACTCACCAAAGCCCACTTCCCCAGCCCCCTGCCACCCCACTCTTCCTGCACTTTGTCATCACCAAGCAAGGATAAACATCGGCTGCCAAGTACGCTCAACATGGGCCTTTACACACAACCCAAGAGAGCTGTAAACCGGTGCGGGGCAGGCGGGGCCCCGTGGCGGCAGAGGCAGGGCGGCCCAGCCCGCCTCGCTCACACACACCCCTGCAGAGAGCGACCAGAGGCAAGCACAGCACAGGGGTCGGATGGCTTAGGCTCTAAGTGATGTGAGGTTTTTTTTGGTGTGCTATGAAAAGATTTTTGACTCTTTACAACAGATAATGTGGTGAGCTGTAATTTAAAAACCAGATTAAAATACTGTAAATATTGAAAGTTCCAGGTGGGAAGTGGCATCTTGGGAATGTATCAGGAGATGGACACGGTACAGAGAGGGTTCCTGAGAGCTCACTGCCGTCAGAGCCAGGGCCGCCCGGGTGCACTGACTGACCTCCTCCTCGCAAGGGCTCCTGGATGCTGTAGACCTGGGACAAGGGCCACCGGTCAGCAGGCCACAAGACATCCTGCTGTGGGACTGCCCAGCAGACGCTCCCCTCCAGGAGCAGAGGCCTGGCCTAGTGCGCAGAGGGGCCCTGCGGAAGCCTCAGGCCCTCTACTCCTTTTCTTCTATGTTGTTTTTACAGAGATAAAGTAGCATTTGGTTTTCTATGAATAACCTTTTATAAGAAAACAGTTCTTTAGTTAATCAATAGCTTTTTCATTCTTCTAGACCAGGGGTCAACTAACTCTGACCCACAGCCCCAATCTGGCCAGCTGCCTGCCTTTGTACAGCCTGTGAGCGAAGAGTGGTTGTAACATTTTTTTAGTAAGTGGGAAAACAGAAAAGAATGTTATGTCATGGTACATGGAAATTACACAAAATCAAATTTTAGTCTGCAAAAATAAAGACTTATTAGAATACAGCCATCGTCATTTGTTCACAAACTGTCTACAGCTGTTCTCGCACTACAAAGCACAGTTGAGTAGCTGCAACAGAGACGTTACGGCACACAAAGCCTTAAGTAGTTACTATCTGTCTGGCGCTTTACAGAATAAGTCTCCTGACCACTGCTCCAAACTTTATCTCCCTAGTGGCAATCAAAAGTGATGTGGCCTCATATGCGTCTCATTTTGGTTGATCGCTCATTCATTCATTACACACATTTGTTTAATACCTATGCCCAGGAAAAAGCATTTTCAAACTCCTGTTCTTAACCACCAATTAATGTAGTAAGACTCCAATTCAGAAGTGAGAGTCAGAAGTTGTATTTGAAACAAGTTCTACATTACTGATTAGTGTGCATGTTCGGAGCAAGTCACTGCACTTCTCTGGCCTCAAAGCACCCTCCATACAGCCAAGATGATGCACCATGTCAGGGGCCTGGAAGCACGGGTCACTGATGCCCTGGAAACCTCATGTGGCAGCTGCTGGCCATACGTTGTGACTTAAAACTGAATAAATAAAATTAAAAGTTCACTTCTCAGTCACACTGGCTATATTTCACGTGCTCAGGAGCCCCATGAAGCTGGTGACTACAGTAATGCAGAGCACAGATACGTAATATCCCCTTATTGCAGAACGTTCTAGCACTGCTCTAGGCCCTTGTTTGGGTCTGTGAAATCAGATTTATTTCCATAATATAAAATGATTTTCATGGTAAACTGAGTTGCTATTTGCCTTTTGCACTGTGCTGACAATTCACACAGACAGGGCAAGAACAACGGGGAGTAACACCCCTGGGGCAGCTCCGCTGAGGCTGCTCATGCAGCAGAAAAATGCCAGCTGCACTTAAAAAGATCCTGGGTGAAGCAGCAAAAATCACTACTCTCATATCTCAACCGTGTGCTACACATCTTCTCTTCTGTGTGACCAACCGGGGAGCTGGCTTACAGCCTGTGAGTGGCACACAATGGCTGTCTCAACAGAAAGCACCTGTGTGAGTGTGGCGCTGAGCAGTGAGGTCGCTGCTTTTCTTCAATACACCAGGCTGGGCAGGGTGGCTGCCAGACTAGGTGCGGTTACTCAGGTCTCGGTGTGTGGCAGATCTGTTCTCAAAAATGAGCAAAGTAGGCCAGTTCCTTCAAGGACAACTGACAGTATTTGGTGCCAATGATAACAATCGGATGTGTGTCAAAAATTAGAAATTTGAAAAACTTGTATCTGCCACACGAGCTTGACAGCTTCTCAAAATTTATAAGGCTTTGGGGAAGAGATTCATGGTGATACTAATGAATGTGATCTTTAAAAATACTGTAGAGTGAAGCACGCAGACATTTGGACAATCTGCATAGCTCAGTAAGCCAAATTCCCAGATGACCATCTGGGTTATAAAAATAATCATGCAAGGGCAAAAAACCCTTCAGACTACAAGACAAATGGACTCCTGTGTCAGAGGATATGAAAAAGTCAGTGCTGTGGGTTCACATCTCACACTGCAACTGATTTTCTAAGAAGCTTCCACTTGTTGAGCTTTGGTACAGTACCAAAACAGAACCCCAGTTATCTCTTCTGTTTATCAGCTAACTTATTTCAGTGGGGCTGGCGTCTCTTCATATACTTCAACCAAACACACCAGCACCAAGTGAAAGTAGAGGCAGATGCAAGACTCCAGTTGTGCCTTTGTAACTCTGAGCCTCAAAACAATGCCACTGCTCTAATTATATTTGTTTTGGATAACTTATTTTTCACAAAAATGTATTATTTATGGGTACCGTGTAACAGATTATTTTTAAATGAATCAATAAATATTTAAAATTTCTATGAGCATCACTAGTGACAGATAATTCACAAAAACAAAAACTCTCTGGAGTTCTCAATTTTCAGGAGTATAAAAGAGGTCTGAGACCAAAAATTTGAGAACTGCTATACCCCATGATCTCCAGGGTCCTGCCCAATGGCACAACTATACACTATTAGCNAGCCTCAAAACAATGCCACTGCTCTAATTATATTTGTTTTGGATAACTTATTTTTCACAAAAATGTATTATTTATGGGTACCGTGTAACAGATTATTTTTAAATGAAATCAATAAATATTTAAAATTTCTATGAGCATCACTAGTGACAGATAATTCACAAAAACAAAAACTCTCTGGAGTTCTCAATTTTCAGGAGTATAAAAGAGGTCTGAGACCAAAAATTTGAGAACTGCTATACCCCATGATCTCCAGGGTCCTGCCCAATGGCACAACTATACACTATTAGCAGTAAGCATTTCTCAACCATCTTTCTCAGATGCACCACACCTGCAGCCCTCAACTTCCTGAGCCCTGGCACACACTTCCAAGGGTCCCCTGAAAGTTTTCCCACACTGTACTTATCTTCGCTGATACTGTAGACACATCTGAAGTGGGTTCTATTCAACTCCACCATGAGGTTGGCTCACCCTGCACATCTCAGAATCCAAAGCATCTTCCCCCACTGACCCCGCTTCCTGCCACATGCCCACTCACTCTGGGCATCTGTCTGCTGTCTCTATCACCAGAAGCCTGTGAGCTCCGGTGTGCGCCTGCATGGTGATTTCCCTGACATCATGGCTTTCGGTCCTCTTCCTGCATAAAACCACTGGTAGCTGTTCACACCTTGCTGAGTAAGGCCCAAGGGTTTAACCAGCTTAAGGACTCAGATGCACTTTCTACTCTAGTCCCACAGCGAATGACATCTCAGAAGACAGATCAGCCCCTGGGCAGGCCCCTCATAGCCACGGCTTATTCTTCATTCCTGCCATAAACCCTGCAAGTTTCCAGACTGGAGTCCAGCTGGTTACCACCATTTCTGAAGAGGTAAACTCAGGGAATGGTAGGCAAGAAAGATAAAAGGGGAGCTAGAGTCATTTTTCCACTTTAGCTTTTACTCCACACTGTGGGGTCACAACTCAATGGAAAGGCAGCACAGTTCTAAAGTTTGAGGAAACACGACCTACTTTTTTTGCGTGGCTGGGAGGGAGATGCTGACTGAGAGGCAGTCCCATTTGTACTGCTCTCCTCTTCTTCTTTAGCTTCTGCTTTCACTTCAGGTTTCTTTTCCTCCACTTCCATCGGTTCTGATTTCTGCTCTACTGTGTCTGTTTCCTCTTTAACTTGAGAACATCCTTGCAAATCCTCTTCCATCATCTTGAGAAAAGCAGTATTATAGGTGAGCATCTGTGACTAACAAAGACCTTTATTCTAACTCAGCCATATGGGAGGGTTGTTAAAAACCTCCCTAGTCAGAGGGATAGTTGTCAGCCCTTCTCTCTTGCACAAGAAGGAACGGGCATTTGGTGTCAGCTCAGTCACTTTAACACAGCACAAATGTGATTGTGGTCCCCACTTAAAACGGTTTACCTGCTAGACTGCTGGAAAAATTGTGCATGCACACCTGTCTCTTCTACTACATGCTCAAGTAGTTTTACATACAGGTATTTCTAGTTTGGAACAACAATCTCCCTGAAAATTGGGGCAGGTTTCAGAAACCAGACTGCTCAGAGGGCCAGGCAGGTGCAGGAAATGGCCACAGCAGGGAGGAGTGCAGGCTGGCGAGCCAGAGACACCAGGCCCCATCTACAGGCCGCAGCTGGCGCTCCTGTCCAGACGGCCGCCCGGAGCACTACAAGCACAATGTAACAGAGCCTCCCAGTTTTTAAGAAAAGCCAAAAATCAAGTTTTATTTGTAATTTCCTGTTTCAAAAAATACTGTGTGGGCCAAACAAAATACACTTACAAGCCCAATTTAGCCCACAGTCTGCTAGTTTTTAACTTCTGCCATACATTAATCAGCAAGTGAGCACACCCTTTGTGCCGCCTAACTGCAGAACTATAAATGAATGAAGAACATGAAAGGCAATGAAAAAGCTGTTGGATGATCCAGACATTTAAAACATAAGCCAGTGTTCTTCATTTCTGAAAAAAATAAATAAATAAAACCACACCTAATATCTAAAAATAAATAACCAATGTGTTTTTAAACTTATTTCCTACTTGAACCCATAACCAAACAGGATATTTTTAAAAAGGCAGGGACATCCGTGGAGGACCTCTGGCGCCTCCCCTGGGAACATTCTAGTGACACTTGTGTGTGCAGCACATCTGCCCATGCCCAAGAACAGTGCCTACCGCAGACCCAGGCTCCCCCCTGGCATCACTGGCATCAGGCTCGGTGTCCTCGGTCTTGACCTCAGCCTTCATTTCCAGCACTGGCACATCAGGTCCTGGCTGGAGGGAGTTGGTTTCAGCGCTGGCCACTGAAGATGGAGTGGGGACCTTGTTATCAATGCTGGCAGCTGCCTGGGAAAGCTGTGGAGAAACCCAATCATTTATCTCTGTGAAAAAGACAACATACATGATCTTAAACCCTGTTGCTCACTCAATATATAGTTTCATGTTAACACTTCTCAGTGATACCCTAATAGGCACCCCTATTTGAGAGAACAGAAGTTAAAATATGAGTTCCACAGGAAATCAACATTGGGCAGAAATCTGCCTTCTTTCCATGAATGCAGAGACAGAGGAGCTGAGCTTTCTACATTTGATATAAAATTATTTTCTGAAAGTTTCTGCCTAGGTCACAGAACCACCTATTTTACGGTTAAATACCTCCAAGAAGGTCATCAATGTTTATGATAAAAGGCTAAATTATCAAAATAGAAGCATATATGCAGGAAGGGGAATAAAGCACCCGTGTGGAGCCAGAATGCTCCTAATCAGTCTGTTAACTGCAGAATAGTGGCAGGCTCAGTGGTGGAGAAGTAAACCCACATGAAGGAATCACTAGAAGAGTCTCAAACCCCTATGACTTCCTCAGTGGTTTTTTTAAGTAAACAATCAAAAGATAACACAAAATTACAAAGAGATCTTATTTAGAGATAAGAAACACAAAATAAGGCTGAATAAGCACACTTCCTAAGGAAAAATACCAATAGTAATGTTATTCTGGGATGGCTGCTGGGATTCTATTTTTTAAGGAAATATCCATAGCCCAAGAATAAAGTTGATGCATTTCAGGGGTAAGGGGATTCCTAAGTCAAACTGATAAGAAAAAGCAAGATTTCAGCAGCAACTTGGGAAGGCCCTGGGTCAGGGGACAGCCTAGCTCATGGGAGCACAGGACCAGGCCTGCAGGCAGGTCTAGAGAGGCTGGGGCAGATCCAAGCCACTGGAAGCACAAGCCCGGATCTGCCATTTGCAGGGGAAAAAAAGGCTTTTAGCCTGGATAGGAGGCTGACTGGCAAGGTCAAAGCATATACAATGAGGAATAGCTTGTTTACCAAACCCTCGTGTTAGAAGAGAAACGACTAAAACTCAGAAGACATCAATCTAGGTCAGATATGTGGAACACAATGCTCCTACATACAGAGAGTGGAAGAACTCTACAGAGGACCCTGGTATGATTTCTTTAGATTTGCTGATTTCTGTAAACTTGTTTAATTAAGGAAGACAGTCCTAAGTTACATCCCACCAAACACAGCCTTGGGAGCCCGTATGAGAAACAGCACACAGCTCACTGTGTGTGCAACTAGGGTACAGAGTTTGGGGATTGCCGGAGATGCGGCAGCAGCCTCCTGACAGCACTCTTCCTGGGAGTTCCCCGCGAGTCTCACCGGTGTGCCGGGGGGCTGGACGTGCACGGGCGTGGGCTGCTGCGATGCCTGAGGGGTGGCCACAGACGGGGGCCGGGCTGGGGTCTGTGGCTGCGGTGTCACCTGGGCCGCCGCCTGCACAGTAGGGGTGCTCTGGGTTTGGCTAGCACTGGGCACCGAACCGGGGGTCGGGGTGGGAGTCTGTCCAGAAGACGACACAGGAGTTGACGGCTGGGTGGGAGCTGCGGGCTGGGGAGGAGTCATCCCAGGCGCTGGAGGGTGCTGGAGAGCCGGCATGGCCACGGTGGCAGGGGCGGGGGGTGGCGTCTGGTGCAGTGGAGACTGGGTCACTGGTGGGCAAGGCAGCTGGCTGGCCTGGGGCCCAAGCATGTTCAGAGCGTTAGGAAGAGCGGCACCAGGCACCTGACCCTAACGGAGGGAAGAGAGTGTATTAAATTTATATCCCCCATTTAGAAATGTAGCAACAGATTTGAGGAATCAAATGTATGAAAATCTCATCATGGTTTTCTTGATGAGGTCTGCTGGTTTCAAGGGAATGTTCCGTTTATAAAAATTCATCCAGCTGTACACAAACAATAATGTGCACTTTCCAATAATATCTAACTCTAGGAATGAGAAGCATTTCGTGTAACTGTTGAAACCTCTGGCTTAAACACACACATTCAACTCAGCTCTGTGCTCCAAACATCCACACACAGCTTACATCACTGGAAAAGGTATTTCTCTTACAAAAAAAAGCAAGTTACTGAAACATGGAAATGTATCAATATAGTGCTTCTTAACTAGGGACATGCTTCAGAACTATCTGTGGACCTTTTAAAAAGTGACTCTGAATCACTGGTCTAGGGCAGGGGTCTACCCATGGCTAAATCCAGTGAGCTTGCCTGTTTCTGCAGTGAAGCTTTACTGGCACCCAGCCCAGTTGACACATTAGTACATGAATGAATGTGCCTATGGTTGCTTTTGCACCACAACAGTGGAGCAGAGGAGTTGAAACAAAGACTTTATGGTGCACAAAGTAAAAATTATTTACAGAACAAGTTGCTGACCCCTGCTCTAGAGCAATGACATATTATGGAAAATAAGAATTATTTTAATAAATATTTAGTGAGTAAATTTAGTGTAGTCAATTATTTTTATTCAACATTACTTCATGATAAAAAATGAAAGCATGAAATTTTATATTTTGGGGGGAGATTTGGCCTGTTTTAGATACATGTGTACTTCCTTCCATACAGCAACAATCTAAGGCACTACAAATAACTATTAAAAGGGGAAAAAAGCCAGTGAAATGAATGGAAAATAGTTCTCTTCAGCCTAAGACTGAATAATTAAAAACATTCAAGAAGAAGAGAAAAAAGAGTTATTGAAACAGGGCAATGTTTCAGTCCACTGGTTCTCAACTGGAGACATGCTTCAGAATTATTTGTGGACCTTTTAAAAAGCGATTCTACTCAAATGATACAGTCAGCCTGACTTCACCTGGGAAGCTGAGACAGACAGGCAACGGGGTCCATGAGCCACGCCATCAGGAGTGAGTGCGTGGGGCCTCTCCCCGCTCCCGCCTTAAAAAATGCAGTGTCTCTCAGAATCACATGTGAAAGTCAAAATTTTAAATACACAAATAAAAACCAAGAAAATGACAACTAAAGACCCAAAAATCAAAACACAAAATCACACAAACCAAAAAACCGCACTCCATTCCACATCAGCATGAAGGTTGCCCAAAGATGGGAAGAGTAATTCCAAACAAGGTAAAAATGACAGAACAAAATGGGGGGAAAAAAAACAAGAGATGCTAACATGTGAAAATGAAACATGTACTCTAGAATTCTAATGAACTAAGACACGCTCAAGTCAGGAGGAAGCTGGGGCTCCATCAGTGCAGGTGCCCACGGTCCCAGAGGGAAACCACACCTGTGACACGCCTGTCTGGGCCGCCGGCTGCCCCATGCCCACACTGTTCACACTCATCGCCCCGCCAGAGGATGGGAACTGGCTCTGCGGCAGGAACTGGCTCTGTGCAGGCGCCTGGGCCATCATGTTACCGGCGTGCGCACCCATCATGTTTGGAGGCTGAGGCACCCGGGAAGGAGAAACGGCCATCTAAAAGACAGTACACACCTTTGAGAGTTCAGAACACAAGGTCCAGCGCCTTCAAGATAAACTAGAAAAGACAGAAATCCGCAAATCCTCCCTCCCTTTCAGGAAGAGAACCACCACTTGCTCAGGCCTTCTGGCTCCCAGGCACCTTGCTCTCCTGCAAGTTCTCTGATGAGCCAGCTTCCAATGGTCTTTTGAATAGAAATCAGTAGCATGCTATAATTTAAAGGTCAAAACACGCCTTGTTTGAGTTCTCTGCGTGTTTAGAAAGCCTGAGGAGGTAAGTTCCAGGAGTCAACAGATACTGACAAGTCTCTCTTGGCTGCATATCTGAGGCTGCCTACTTGATCCTCAGAACTCCATCTTCTCACAAAGTCACAAGTTCCTATGAGTTTGTCATTCCAATAAGGGTAAGTATGGTCAAATAATTCTCACTGTAGTAATGAAGACTGAGAGAGAGGGAGGGAGGGAGGGAGAGAGAGAGAGAGAGAGAGGCAGTAAAGAAAGCATAGCCCGAATCCAAAGGAACAAGTGCCATAGGGTTCTCAGACCACCCATGACCTCACGGCTTAGAGCATTACCTGGATTCGAGCAAGGCCTTCTCTGCCCCGCCGAGGCACTTACCCCTGGGACGGAGCCCATGCTGCTCATCGGGACAGAGTGGTTCATAGGGGACGCTGCGCGCGGGCCCATGGGAGCTTGTGGCAACTGTACATTCCCCAAGGACATTGGGGTAAATGAATTCATCCCTGTAAATGTACCCACAATGGTTCATTAGGAAAAGCTCCCACAGGAAAAGAGAATTATAACTCGTCAAATAAACTCTAAGCAATGAAGGACAGAACACATACAACTGAAAGGAAATCACCAGGTAAGTGCCAGACTTCTTATCCAGGAAACAAGCACTGACTCGGTTGTGGTGAGGGAGGTATGGTGGAGCAGGGGTGAGGGAGCAGGAGGAGATGAAGGGAGAAAGTCAGGGGAAGCGCCGCCACCACGCCCAGGGGCAGCACTGAGCAGTGAGACGACAGCACTCCAACAGAAGCGGCCCAGCAGCCACGGGGATGAAGAGGCGCTGGGCAGGCACTCCCAGGCACCGTCCAGCCTGCCCCCTACACCCCTGGAGCACCTGGCTCCTTCTCCTCTCCTGCAGGAAGCCAGTTAGTTCATCAGCTCGTCGGGAGAGCTTCCACTGATTCTTAGTTCTAGGATAAGACTCAAGACATGGTCTCCATTTCGTAAGCATGGAAGCGTTTACAAGAGCCCGCGGGCTGGCATGGCACTTCTCAATCTCAGCCTCCTCCCCAGACTGGCAAGATCTCACTTTTAAGGCCACTTTCATCCTCCTTGTGGTGCCCGCCATCTACAGGGGTGTCACACCATGACACGTCCAGACACAACACTCTGTGGACTCTGTGCTCTGCATAAAGGCCCATTCGAGAAACTCTTGGGACCGACACTGGGATCTAGCGGGACTGGTAGGGCTGCAAGAGGGTCTCAAAGGGCATGCGTCCCCTTAGCACTACCTTCAATGACACCTACAAAAGTCACCCTAAAAAAGAGCCAACATAGGCCCAGGAGGAGCTTCCAGGAAGTCTGTAATAAAAAAAAATTTTCCTCTCTCCTTGAGGATATTGTTAACTAAATACGAAAAGGATATACTGAAAAACAGCACCATCAAGTCTCTCTTCACACAGACCCAGGTAGGCTGCTCGGGGAGGCACAGGAGGGCTCACTGTCAGGTGCCCCCGTCAGTATTCTGCTCAGCAGCTCTCTCAGCAGACCCGGGGCCGGCAGAGCCTCGGCTCCTCGGCTCAGGCTCGCTGCCTCTGACCTCCTGATCCCTTCCTCCCCTCTATCTGGTCCATGAAAACAAGTCCCTGGAAAGTTTCCTTATAACATCAATTTATTTACCATGTCTTTTCCAGCATGCAGTAGATTGCCGCAACATTCACAAGGACTTCTTCCCCCCTCTATTCTACACACGGCGGCAAGGCCTTGCTCTGGAATCTTATGGATAATGCCACCACTTTATTTCATAATCTGTAGAAACACTCTACTGTTCAAGTCTCAATTTGACAAGCGCTTGGAGACGCCCCTCCCCCTAAACTCAAATGACTGCTTCAACCAACAAAAAACATCAAATTTCAACTGGAGAAAAGAACCTCCAGAAGCTGGTCGCAGCACCCCAGCCTGATGTGGACTCGAGTACAAACTCTGTTCAGGCTACACGCTGCCAGGCTTGGCTGCTCGTGCTCCCAGGGCCCAGAGCAGCAGCCGCACATGCCCCCCTCCCCCTCCTGTGGGGTTCCCTGGCCTAGGACCGGCTCAATGCTCTCCTTAGGGGCACTCAGACATGTTTCCTTCCACCATCTCCAGCGTTTTGTTTGCAGACTCTTCCAAAGAGTCATGTCCCATCTGCCCCTTAAGTTTGGAGGGGTGGGGAGGGGAGCCTGAATCCTACTTCTGACCTCCTTAGAGAGCTTTCCTATGATCTCCTAACCTCCAAAACACAGCAGATATTCACACTGCCTGGGGGACTGAATTCTACTCATCTGCAAAAAGGAATGGAAGGAATCAGGGGCTATAAAGAAGTACAGAGGGGAAGAAAACACCAGTAAACTTGGTAACTGTTGGATGTTAAAGCAAAATATGATTCACAATAATATTTAGATACCTTGAGAAACCTGCATGCGATTCACTGGCAGGGGCATGGGCCCATCTATAACAGCAGAAAAAAAACTGGTTATTTAAGAAAATTCTTCACTTAGAAATAGGAATTTTATCTTGAGAACTTCAAACTTAAAGGGAAAACCAGTCAATAGATCTAACAGCTCTGAGCGTGCATTCTACTGCCAGCACACCCCTTAAAGGGCCTCTCCATGGGAGAGTCTCAATGTCCAAACACAGGCCAATGCCGAAGGTCACAACCACTGCCACACATTTTCCAGAGTGCAGGATTCCTGAGAAATAATTCTGTGTGCTTAGAAGTACACTCCCAACACAGAAGGAAACAGAAGTAAGCAGCCTAAAGGCAGGCGGAGGAAATGAGCCCTTACTTGGAGGTCTCACAGTTTGTGCCTGTGGAATCCCGGGAGGCTGTGTCGCAGGGGTCGGTAAGGCTGGCTGGTTACCCAAGATGCCTTGTTTGTGTAAACGTGATCTCCGTTTTTCTTCTAGTTCTTTCTGTATCTTGTAGATTTTCTCTGCTAATAAGTGATAGTATTCATCCTGAAAAGCAGTAACATTCACTATTAGATAGCCAAAATTGTAAAAAAAAAAAAAGATCTGTTTTGCACGTTCTAACACACTAATACACTTCTAAATTACATACACGGGCAAAGATAAGTATTCAGCACTTCTGATAAATCAAAGGTCCAAATTCTCACTGAACTCCTAGTGATATTACAGGCTTGTTTATGACAGTAGGTACAGTACTACATGCATGTTTCATTTCATTCCACAGTTGAACCTCTTAGATGTTCATTGATACTAGCAATAACAGTGCAAGCATGATAAACAATCATGCCCACTTGTGGATTAAATATAATTTTATATGCCTTATTTACCACTGCAGTGGTCACATTCGTAATTAGCCTCCCTGGTCAGCTTCCACAAGGTAATGAGTCTACCCAACTAACAGGTTTCCCCCTTTCCAGACAATCGGCCAGACAGGTGCAGTTTTATCTGCCATAGGTGGTGCGCAGGCTGGAACACACGTGGCAACCTACCCTGCTGTTGGCAGACTCATACATGTCCCCTTCCACTTTCTTAGCATAGGCCACCAGGTTCTCCATGCGGCGGTCCTTCAGGGCTGCAGGGTCAGGTGTTGGGAAGATGGCTTGGACACTGAAAGGACCATATTCAATCAACCTACTTTCAATACATCAGTATCTTGCTATGTTACTATAACAGCAGGAAAAAAACTGGTTATTTAAAAAAATTCTTCATTTAGAAATAAGGAATTTTATCTTGAGAACTTCATACTTAAAGGGAAAACCAGTCAATAGATCTAACAGCTCTGAGCGTGCATTATACTGCCAGCACACCCCTTAAAGGGCCTCTCCATGGGAAGAAACAGGATCATCTATCTATGGGCGCAATGCACCCTAGAGACAAACCCCCACTCTCTCAGTATATGAATAAACTGTGGTCACTCTCCGGAGATAGCACTGACCTGTCAATTTATCCACAAGTCAAACACACACTATTATTTTGCTATTAGTGACAGTAAGTGCTGAGTCATCTCAAGACTAACATGATCTCAAATTCCTAATTTTTAATCTATTCATTATAAAAATATTTGATTAAAATGATGAAGAAAGAAAAAACCTCCAAGGGACTCAAGCTGATTAACTTCACCTTCAATTTAACTTAACTAGCATGAGAAAGTTAACTGTTAACTTGCCCTATGTCACCTGACTGTGCAGTGTTACTGTCATGCCCCCTGTCCAAATTTTCCCAAATCTCAGGGATCTCTACAACTGTAATCTTGAGCCATAAAATAAAGCAAAGCTTCTGAGCTAATCCCAGCCCCACCGTGCATTCAGAGCGGCCTGGCTGCACGTCACAGTTCACACCTCTCTGTAAGGTCAAGCCACAGATGCTCTGACACGGCCCCACCCTGGGATGCAGGGGCTAAGATTCTCTGGTCTGTCAGCAGTGTCTGACTCTCTAAACAAGCACACACCCTCCGCAGCTGCTAGGGTACCATCACCCAGGCCCAAGGGCCCAGTCAGGAATTACACCCGGCATCGACGAAACCGCAAAACTCTCATATTGACATGAGCCACAGAATGGTCTGGTCACGTGAATAACAGGTGAGGTGGGCACGTACAGTTTGTGCACTAGATGGCTCCGCAGGTCCTGAGTGACGTGTTCGTGCCAGCTCTTCCGGACGCCAGTGCTGGAAGGAGGGGCGGCTGTTGGTATGGTGCTGAGGGCGCCGATGCTCCCCGAGCTGGCGCTGTCATTCATCAGGGGGCTGAGGGAAAAACAGGAGCACTCACCATCTACTCGAGTATAGCCAGGGCACTTCATTTAAGTAAGGTTCTGCACCCCTACTTTTTATGGGACTTTTTCAAAGTTTAAGTCAGGAGAGCCAAGTGATGGATATATAACAAAACTGAGACCATGTTTAATCTTTTTGTTCTACAATTAACCTATTATCTGTTCTATAATGAAAGAAAGAAGGAAGGGAAGGAAGGAAGAAAAATAGCATTTCCCCTCCCCTGCCACTGCCCTGTTTAAACTATTTTCTCTGCCACACGCTTAGAAAGAATCACAGAGTTCTGTGTGATTCTCAGCCCATTTTCATGTGTGACTATCACTCAGATAGGAGCTGATTGAAACTTGGTCTTACTTTGTGGCCCCGAGGGAAGTTGGAAGAGCTGATTCTGAAATCAAGTTTGGCGGCTGCTGATCTGCTGTTATTCCTCCTGCTGGAATGTTCATTGGGTTATTTCCTTTAAAGACAGAAAGACATCAGCCAACTCCTAAATCCCACACTTCAGAGTTGTAATACCAGATAAACCAGTCACCACATAGGTAAGTGATTCTTATGAGTTATAATCAACACTTGGCAGGACTCTGGGTGTTACATTTTTTAATAGCAGTGATCAAGTTGTACAAATTCAGCTGCAGACTCCCTCTCACTGTACCGTGTAACCCAAATAAGGCCAGCTGGTACGGCAATGTTCTCTATGGCTGCAGAAAGAACTAGAAATGATCCACTTGTAGCTTCAGATTCTGATTCTGGCTTCATTAATATCATGTCCTGAACAACTAAGCTGACCTGTTGCATATATTTGTGTCATCTTTTATTTTGTTTTTTATGTGTATCAGAAAAAAAAAAATCACAGAAATTAATTGCAGGTGAGAAACATAAAAGGTCAGCTTATCTACAGTACTTACTTTAAAGTAAGAAAAAGTGGAGACTCAGAGGTTAATGATCTTGTTACAAATCATACCATCAGTAGGAGTAGAGGTAGATTAGAAATCAGGTCTTAAGACCCCAATCCAGTGTCCTGGCCAGTAGGAGTTAGATATGTATTAGGGTGGTTGTTTTCCAAAAACCAAAAAATGAATGTTTTTAGTAAGTCACTTTTAAGGTTAAAATACTTACTCTATGAGGAAAAGAACAAAACTGCATAATAGCCTTAACTTGACTGATGTTAACTGCTTGGCTAAAGCCTAAGTTTTAAATGACTGTATAAATTTAAAGAAAAATATTAGGGAAACACCAAGCAGAGATGGCAAAAATTGTGGAGATATGTGAGCAAATGACCAACCAATGGCAAATGATGGGTTGGGATAACAACATGGAGAAGGCGGAGACAGGAGGGATTTTCTGAGACTCATACTAACCCCAGGTATCGGCTGGTCACCTCTGCTGTGGGTAGCCCGTAACCGAGATGTGCTTGAACTGGCAGACCACCTACAAGTTCTCCTACATGTACCAAATACATGGTCTACTGGGAGCCAATGCAAGTGGCACGATGGTATTCTGACATGTGAAATTTAGCATTCTGGGCCATACGAAACACCTTCCTCGAAAACTGTCCAGACAAAAGTGGCCCAGCAAAAAAATGCAGGTTCATTCGCAAGAGCTGTTCTTTGTAGAAGACCACATGGCTTCCTTGCACCCACACTTTAGCCCTTTTCCCTATAAGTGTTTTGTTTCAATCATTTAAAAGATACCATCCCTTTAATATATGTATGTTAATTTGAATTTAAAGTAAAAACAGTAACTACAAACAGTCGTGAGTTCTGGAAGACCTGACATTCCCATGGCTGCATTTAGATAAAGGAGATCTTGAGAGTTCACCTACCCAGGGGGTTGAGAGTCCTCATCTGCTGGTGAGTTTGAGGCTGTGCTGGTTGCTGGCCTGGAACCTGAGGCTGCAGCTGCGTTTGGGGCTGGTTCAGGTAGGGGAGCCCAAGAGCAGCGTAGGCTCGCTGCATGGAGCTGGGGTCTATGGGGTTCGGGTTACTCAAAGAAGTAGCATTTTGCTGGCCTGCGCCAACAGAGCCAAGTGTGTTTTGAATTCCACTAGCTGGAGACCCCAGGATGGCTACAAGAACAAACAGACAGACAGACAAAGAAGGTAAGTAAAAGGGAAAAGTTCACAAATTACATCTATTCTGAAAAACAGCAGCTGAGCAAAAGCTAAAGGAAGTTCAAGCTTCTCTCTTAGAAGGCAAGAGACCACAAAATCAGAGATCACTTAATAAGAAGCACTAGCATTAAATCTAGAGACTCGGAAAAGGTCAGTTCCAGGAGTGTCAGGGCAAACACATGACAGCGCCAAAGCGCTCTGCTTCTCTGGGGGTCATCAGCCACCACTGGGGTGAACTGAGGAACACCCCTTGGTCCTTCACTGCTCACCTGCAGTTACAGGATTAACAGAAGTAGCAGAAGTGATACCCAGCGGGTCAGTGTTGTTACTGATTAAGAAATCTATGACATAAAAAAATTGCAATTCATCAGAACTTAAAGCATACAACAACCACATTAACACCATGCCTTTCCTATGGCCTCCTGTGCAAGCAAGCATCATGCTGAGCTCTCTGACTACATAAAGCTGTTTAAGAAACATGGCACTTGATTGGCTGACTGATGTATTTGAAATTAATGGGTGGAACAAGGCATCACCTCAGTACCACTGATACTCAGGAACCACTCGGCCTCCTGGGGCCATCCTCAGCTCCCACTATCCGGCCTTCTGGTGGCCTGCAGGGTATTCCCTCCTGCTGCACCACCTACCCAGTCGATCCCAGAAACTAAAGGAAAACCTGTGCTGACAGAAACAACCCCATTCCAAAGGGCTGCAAGGTTAAAAGAGATGACCCCAAACTTGCACCTCCTTACCCGTTTCAAGTTCAAGTCATCTGACTGTCATCCATGCAAATGTCCTCATTTAGGGAGCACTTGACCATATGGAAGAACTTTTGGGTCACGCTATTTGTTTTCATTCTTAAGAATTCCTTTCTTTCCAACTTTCCCAAACTTTACTCATGTTATAAATACCAACTTATAAAATCAACACTATAACATATGATCTTTATACATAAAACACTACCACAAAGCCTTTCTTTCAAATTCAGACCATTATGTGTAACAATATTCTCACATTAAATAATCAGTGCAACTGTAACATAAACAACTCAAATATCACAGTAGCTTAATTAAACTGAAATGTGTTAAAAAAAATCTTGGTATTTACACATTCCATACTATGAACTTTTCTAATAAGGATATTCAGATCTCAATCTCATTAATGCTCATTAGATAGGATTATACACACCAAGCACCTCATTATTATAAATGAAAAGCAATTCTCAAGGTACACTTAACAAGTGTGTAGCTGAAGTTAAGTCAGGTGTAATACCTTTAAAAGTATTTTTTCTAGTAGTTAACACTCCCTAAAACTTTATCCCCATCACATGCTAAATTTTCTAAAAGAACTATGACATGGAAAGGAAAATAGTAATGGTAGGATGATTTATTTTCCTATCACCTTATGGTATAAGAAAAAAAAGACCCAGACTGCATCTGATACACAAAGTGATCAACTGCGGAGAGGAAAAGCAACAATTTTATCTCCTCTTTTCCAGGTGAAGTTGCAGCAGCTACGCTTTAATAATGTCTTCTTCCTACTATATTCCACCTTCGCCACACATTGGCCAACGCCATCCTTTTAGCCAGAATGTCCCACCTTAGAGCAAATGCCATTCCCAAGGCCAAGGCCACTTATGGGGCAGCCAGAGCCTCCTACAGAAGCTGCTGATAAAGTAACTGTTTTCTTTGTTAAAAATATACATTTTGTAAATGTAAATATTACTCTATTTTTTATTTTAAAAGCAAACAAACCTCTCAGAAGACAAGTAAGCATTTGGTACTGGACATTTCAAACAGTTCGGTGGCAAGGAACACAAAGTGCAAACAAATGAAAAGGCCTCTGACACTTAAGCCTGGCCCCACCTGAGCCCCAAAGCTGCCATGAGACGGCACGAATATTTCAGGGTCGAGGTGCACGGGCATCTCCCGGCGTGACGGCTGACTGAGAAGGGAGTTTTCAGGTACAAGTGATCACACACTGTTTTGCAAGCTCAAGATGCTGCCACTGCTCTGTGACCGTTTTCCGGCTCTTGGGTGGTGAGGTGTTCCCGAGTCCCACAGTGCCTGCTGGTCTCTGCTCGTCTCTGGGCATCTACCTCAATCCTCACTCACTCCACAGTCTGACAGCAGTCTGTGTTTATTTTTTTCTCAGTAAAACTGGGCTCAATTTGAAAGTCCAATGAACACTGACACAAATTAAATTCCAAAACTTTGTCAGAGTGGTAGGAGACACACCAGGAAGCAGGCAAAGCACCTACCATCTTGTCACTACTAAGATTTCTATGGAGAAAGTGGTGCTAGAATTTACTCAGACCTGCGCATCCCTCACAGAGTTAACCCCGGGCTAGCAGGCCTCACGTAGGCACCATGCGCACTGGGACGGCCTTCCTTTCCAGCCCCTTCTCGTGCGTGGCATAGAGCACGACCACAAAGCCAAAGGGCCTGGCCTCCGCCACCATTCATGACACACAAGCCCTCCAAACAGCTCAGGAGTGGCAACACTGTGCTACCCAGCAATTAGGAAAAAAGCTGTTCTATGAAGTACATCACACCAACGGCTGTTTAGTACTTAAAGCAGGGCAAACAAGCCCACAACTCTACCCCTCTGGACGCTTAGGTTTCACTGTGCCCTCTGCTTGCCACCCCAACCAGTCTGTCAAGAGACGTGCGTGAGAATCTCTGGAGAGCCCTCAAGTGAACAAGGGCCAGTTCAACGCCACTTTCTGAGCACCTAAGCAGGCTGCCCTATGAGAGAAATTTTATGGAGGGAGATTTGGACTCAATATCATGAAGGAAGACATTTCAAACAATCAGAGATGCCTACAATTGGACAAATAGGAAGGCTAGGCACTGAGCGCCAAGTCAGCAGAGGTATTCAAGCAACAGGCTAGAGGGCTGCTGCCTCAGACAGTTGATGGGCTCACACCGCAGCCCACCCCACGTCGAGGCAGCTGTGGGCAACGTGTGGGTTCAGTCTGGCTCCAGGACTAACCCTGTAGCACTTGGTTTGACAGTCCTTCTGGGATTCTGAGTTGGGAAACTCATGCTTTCCTCACAGAGTAACTGAGACCTTCTCCGGGGCCCCAGGACGGACACCAGCCCCTTGAGGCATCCAGGGCAGCACAGTCCAACCACTGATACACACATCAACCACCTGGAAACTTGTTAAAACGTGGATTCTCAAACAGGGGTCTGGGATGGGGCCCAAGCTTCTGCACTTCTAACAAGAACCTGGAAGTGCCTGTGCAGCTGCTCTGAGGGGCTGTACTGTGAGTGGAAGGAACTCACTGATGAGGGAAGAGGGGTGCAGACAGGAATTCAGTTATGTGCTCACACAGCTCCAGTCTTCTGTGCATCCTGTGCACTGAATTCACTGAAAGTCAGATGCAAAGACTAACATCAAGTATATACCCTGGAAAGTTCTAATTATTCACTAAAATCTGATTCTCTCTGTAAGAGTTGGATAGCTCAAGATCAGTGGTTACAGAATCTTTAGAAAAATCAAACAAAATCTCAACATGGGCCAAAAAGGTAACCAATGGTCTGGGTTTCACCTCAAGGACAATCAGTTTAGCTCCACAGGTAACTGGCAGCTTCTCTCAATAGGACGGCCATGAGAGAAGTCAGTGGGACGTGGGCACCAGGTAAGGCAGGCACCTATGGGAAGCCCTGCCTAGAAAGCACCACCGGCGGGGCAGAGGCCAGTCTCAGACTGTCCCAGGGGTCCTCACCAGCTGCCAGAAACAGTTCTTCCCTCGATCACCAGGCTGCTCGCACGGGGACCTCCGAGCCCATCAGACGCCGCCCTTGCTGGTAGGTCGGCTGTGCAGATAGTGTTCCTGCCTCTGGAATGTTTACTCTGTCGCAGCTGTGCCCGGTGAGGTCCCACCCTGAGCACACTCTGAGCCCGCCTTCCCCAACAGTCCACACCACTGACTGTCCCTACCTCAGTCCTTCAAGTGATGATATGCTTGGTTGGTCATCGGCTCATTTTAAATGTATGTACTCTGACTCTGGGACCCAACTTTATGCTACTGAAGGCTCGGATTCACCTTTTCTTGGTGCTTGATCCACGTCTGCACACATGGTAAGCACAATGTGCTTTAGGAGAGGAGAACAACAAAGTTCACAAAAATGTTTCCCTGGAACTTTCTCGCTCTCCACATCAAACTCCTCTATACTCACCATACAGTTTATAGTTCAAAGGACACACTCAGAGGTGACACCTAATTTGAGAAGCACTTAAGAAATTTTTAAATAGGTGCTTTCATTTCTTCTATGAAAAATTACCAAAACCTGGCATAGTCTAAATAGTCCCCGTGACTTTGTATTATAAAATCACCTTGGTAACACCTCACATTATGACTAGGAGAAAGAGTGTGGTTTACCACTTCAGAGAACATGCCCTGGATCAGTCATCACAACATTCAGGCAGTTATAAGGATGTTCAAAACAAAACAAAAAACCACATACATTTCTTTTTTCTTTTCTTAAAACAAAAACCACATAAGTGTTTCTTAAAAAGAGAAATCACGAAAGTTTAAAGCTGTCATGGTAACACATACTGAAAACAAAAGGTCCCAGAAAAGCCACACCCCCAGGTTAGAAGTTCAGAACGAAGTCCTAACTTCATTCATTCAGGGAATCAGTGTTTTGGCACTTAACAAGTCTACTACTGAAACGTGTCCTCAAACGCAAGAAATTGCAACCATCATGATATTCTAGTTAAAGAAAAAGTTTTACACTAACTGGGAGGAAAAACAGGCAGCATTCCACTACAACTACCAACCCAAATAATGGTTCTGGAGACCCAGACTCCAAGAACTTCACTTTGAATGACATGTCCTGGAAAACTGTGTATTAATTCAAAATCTAGTTAATCAGCGAATAGTTTAACTGATTTAGGAAAGTGGCTGTTCAAGGAAATCTGGCATGACTCCTGCAGCGAAGGAAGCCAACAGGCACACGGCCCCAGAACGGCTCACTATGTGCTATGATGCTGTGCTTAGGGTCCTCTCACCAGGGAGCGGAGCTGGCCCAGCAGGGGATGAGAGGCGGGCCGGCCCCAGGCTCTGCTCCCGGGCACTCTTAGGAACGATCCGCTTTTCCACCTCCCCCGCACCCTGAGACTTCCAGAAAGAAAAGCAGCAGGTTCTCCAGGCAGCAGCCAGGTCTTGAGGACGATGATCAAGAAGAACGAGAGCGATGAACACATAACCCCAAACAAAGGAGGGTGGCAAGACGGAGGAAGAGGAGGAAGAAGGGGAAGACCGTGTGTGCTGGGAGGCGCGAGGGGCAGCACGGGATCGAAGGGTGAGTCCCTTCTCTCCAAACGGAGGGACACACCCAAAGGCCAAAGCTGTGCCTCTGAAATGACAGGGAAGGCCTTAAAATTGGGAAGAGATGGGCATCCTTCCATTGCTCTGATTCCTACAGACAGCGGGGAGCTGCAGAGCCACACACAGGCCTCCTATGCGGGACCACCGCCTAACTGCTCGGTTCGGGGCTGCACAGACGACTCTAAAGACAACACAACAATGGCAGCAATCAGGATGCGGCCAGTCCTGGGACAGACTCTCAATCTGTGCTGCATTAACTGTTAGTTACACAGAAAGGTCTGGGAACTGCATCTCCACAGGAGGGAAACCCTCCCACTGTTTACCCGTGGCAGTTCATGCTCACCCAGGCAGACCCGCTCTTCTACAGCACGGAGTCCTCACAAGTCACTCTAGGATGAGGGGTTTCCCGTGCCTGAAGAAGTGTCCCCCTTGCTTCCCCCGCCTCCCAAAGTCACTGCCACTACTGTGACATGACATTCAAACCCTCAGATACTGAGTATCTGTCAAGATACAGAAGAGTCCTCCTGCTGGCCCCTGCGCTCCACGCTGCTGGCTGCAGTGCACATGTGCAGGGGGGGAATAGGACTCCCACCCTGGTGTCTGCTGCACACACCGTGCACCATGTCCTCGCTAAGCCTAGCTCTGCTCTCCTGTCCCTGTGCCTCCACCTCGCGTCTCTGCTTGCCATTGTACTCTGTGGTTGTAATTTCTCCCTGCTTCCTACCTACTCTTCTGTATTCTCTTTACAAATAGCTTATTTTCTCATCTCCAAGCTTCTCTACCCCCAGTGCTCACTTACTTTGTTGGTTTCGCTTGTCACTGGCATTTTTCAAAGGGAGGCAAACAGGACAGTCATGTCGTGTGCAGTTCTTCCAATGAGAGATGATTTGTCGTGAAGATGCACAATGGGCAACTATGACCAGAAAAACAACGAGATGTTATTTTTCTATCCAAATCGTCACACTTTCAATCACACCTAAATTATAATGCCAGATTCCACAAGAAAATGGTAACAAGTGTAACCATAACACAGTATACACAGTCCTCAACTTACAAACAGGCTGTTTCCAAAAGGTTTGTAAGTCGACTGTTGGGAATTCCAAACAAAAACTTCCTATAGAAGCAATGTTATGAATGATGGTGATTACGGTCAGCCCACAAAACAAAAACAAAACAAAATAAAAACTATTTGATCTGAAATACTGAACAACTGGAATGAAAGGTAGTAATTCTGTAATGTCACTATTTAAAATAAAATTTTACCTTGAGGAGAAATACAGAGAGAAGCAAATGAGAAGTCTGTACAGATTCAGAAAGGGACCCCAACTCTTTTCAAAGCACTCGAGAGGCCAGTGAGATCTAATGGCCTTCATCTTCGCTTATGTACTAAGGTGCTCTGATTCCTTCTAAAGCCCTCGCATGATCCTCCCCTGCTTCTCCATCAGGGTCAGGGTTGTGCTCAGGACTCACAAATGTCAGAGAGGGAGAGAGGAAGACAAGAGAGAGTGTTCCTCCGGTTTAGGAGCCCAAGGAAGAAGAGAAGGAAAGAGGAGAAGATTACAGGAAAGTACGGTTGTTGGTAAGAAACACTTTCTTCAGCAGAACTGAGGTGTCTGCCACAGAAGAGAGGAAAGGCGGCACACGATGTGCCCGATTCACCCCTCCTCGAGCGGGAGGAAGGCAGCGGCAGGGATGATATGGGGCGCGCAGTTCCCAGGTCCTGGACAGTCACCCAGGACAACCTCGCTGGGACCCGTCAGCCCCAAGATGAGATGGTGGAGAGGCAGGGCAGTGCGCTGAGCACAGGGAACAACTGCAAGATGGACGCTGGAGGGCGAGGGAAGAACGTGTGCGTGTCTGCAGATGCGACGTTGCCCAAAGAATGCTGCTGTATCCAGAGATTTTACGAAGAAGACGGAGCTTAGAAAGTGACAAACGTCCCCCGAGGCGCGAGGAGAAGAACGAAAGGGGGCACAGCCTCGCCCAGCGGGGCTCCTGGAGTATCACACCTCATCGCCTCTCTTGGGAGGCTAAGCAGTCCGCGGGCACCGAAGTGGCCGGTGTGTGGGGACGGAGGCCACGGGAACCTGATTAACAAGGGAGCTGCCTACGGACATGAAGACAACTTCATCCTAAGCCTCCAGGACCTCAGAAAATGGCACTTACCTTGACAGGCTTTCCCAGCCTGACAATGTGTCATGTGATTCAAAACATTTTTCATGGTTCGACAGTGTGGGAGCGAGCAGGCCCGAACCTCTCCATTTGCTTGTTCTCGTCTCTGACATTTATGGGCGTGAAGCAGTAGAACCAGCTGCTGCTGTATCAGTTTGCGTTTTTCAGGATCTGCAGTGGGGCCCGTTGCAATTGCTTGTGTGGGTACAATTCCCACTGACGTTTGCATCTGAGACTAAAATTAAACAAATTAATACAAATATTTTAATAAGCTTTTAGAGTTGTGTTTCATGTGCATTTATTATTTTTCAAACTAGTGTTAAAGCTGCTGGAGAGGACTGGCCACAGAAAGAAGGCGGCTGGTGTGGGTCTCTTAACTCCTCAGGGACTAAGCAAGACCCAGGGGCACAGCAATCAGCCAGCCTGCACCAGGGCTGAGGACTGTCCCCTTGGGCGCGACCATCTCGGAGCAACAGGACGGTCCTTCTTCGTGACTGCAGGAATCGCCGAGCAGCTTACTCTACAATACACCCAAGTGCGGGAAAGGCTGCGGGAAAGGCTGTGGTTGTTATATCAGCTTGATCATACGGAAGTGTTATTTTTGTAGGCCCAAATGGCCAACATTGGCAATTCCACATGGTTCAACCTAATTAGACTGTCAAGGCTTGACCAGTTTCAATTCACTGCAAATACCTGACGCAGGGAAGAATCGGAGCCACCCTGTAGATGACATCATCTTGTGACCAGCAGGACAACACCTGCAGCATTCACTCTCTCTCCTAAAGAAGAGTATGTCACTCATCCTTAACGTGGCCGTACAGTACAACTGTCAATACTTATGAAATGCCTTGCCTTCCGTTAAAATTTCCACTCAGAGATCTGACAATAATTTTTTCAAAAGTATCTGATGATCTGCTAAAGACGTACAAATAAAGTTTAGTTGCTTTCATGCTTTTCAAATGACAAACCAGACTGATGATTCCTCTTATCTGCAAAGAAAATGGAGAAGAAAATGGAGAAGGTGACCTGTGGAGTCTTATCTTCACAAACTACCAATATTCTTCAGACAAACTTTACTAAAGAAACTTAAGAAATAAGAGAAATGTCATGTTCTTCATATATAATAATGTTAATTCATAGTCTAGGGATTTCTTATCTTTTCTAATGCTCTGACACGGCTATTCCCAGTGTGATTTTACAACACTCGCTGCCTCCCCTAAACTACACCACCACTCTGACTTTAAATTAAGAATCAAAACTATCTATTTGCAATTAGGAGGGGGAAAGCTATGAAAATACTTCTTAATGAATCAAACTTCACTTAAAAAAAGTTAGAGGGCTTTTTGTTTCAGTTTCTCTTTATAAGAGCTCAGTAAAGTAGTGTGTAGAAAAGCTGCTCAGCTTCTCCACCCCAAAGTGTGACTCCTGGGAGCCTAGCTACAGCTGAAGCAAAAGCAAAGTCCTACCTACGAGGCAGAGCATCCTGCCTGGAGAAGTACTTAACTCCTGTAGGAGAACAGACGCTTTTCCTCATGCTTATGTTTTCCTATTATAAAAGTAATATACGCATGCTACAGAAAATTTGGAAAGCAACTGAACAACTAATAATTAGCACCTGAATTCCACTATCTTGGAGTCCACCACTGAAGTGTTTGTTAAGTTTTTCTCTTTCTAATCTTTTTTTCTATATACGTGCATATGAATGAGCCGTGCATATTATGATAGAATAACCTTCTATCATATGCGCGCACGCACACACACACACACACACACACACACATTTGGCTTGCATTTACTCCAGGTTCTGTCCCATACCGTTAGGCTGTCTCCTACAGTATGACAGCAGGGCAATGAGCATATGGCTATACATTTATTTTTCCAAAATCTCTCTACTGGGCATAAACTGCACACACCCCACACACCCCTTTCCCTTGCCACTTAAAATCAAGTTTCAGTAAGCAGCCTTCAACGCTGTCAGTATCAATGTCAAACATGTCCTGCTCGATCAGCTTATTCCTGTGGACTAGGAAGTCCAACCAGAAGTCAACAGGGATGGATATGGGAGAATGTGAGAAATGCAAGATGACCTTTGTTTAGATCTCTTTTGAACTTATGAAAATTTCAAACACACAGAAAAGGAGAGAGGAAAGGATACCATTATCATGCCTAACAAAATGAACAATTCTTTAACATCTGCTAATACCTAGTCCATATATAAATTTCTCTAATTGTCCAAAAAGCGTCTTTCAGAGCTAGATGTCACAAATCAGGACTGAATTAAGACCCACATCCTCCATTTGGTTTTTGTTTTTAAGGCTCTTCATCTACTGCTAACTGCTTTTTCACGACATTGCCTTGCTGAAGAGACCATTCCAGTTGTCTTCTTGCTGTTTCTGAAAATACAGAAATGCTATACACAAAAAAATAAATCATATAAAAGTGAGGTAAAAATCCTAACCTTACAATTAAATTATAAACAGATTGCTTTTACGTTACTAAAAAATTAACACACTGTTTCTCATTTAGGATGTTCTTAATAGCATCTTTTGAACTATACTCAACCATATGTCAACACTTCAACATACAGAAATAGTGTGGTTGGAAACTATGAGGCACATTCAAAACTTGGTCCATTATTTGTCTATGTGTAGCTCTACACACTGTTGACATGTGTCTCAAAAGCAAACTGGAGTATGAAGCTGAGTGAACAGCAAGATGGAACAGAAGACAGGTCTCACGTCTCGGTGCCTGGCCCCTCCCCGTACAGCTGTACCCTCAGACAGGGCCAGCCCCGTCTGCAAAGCCCTTACAGACCCTGGGTGCCCAGCAACTCCTCTCTCGGGTTGGTGCTCAATGAGATCAAAGACTTGCATGAACTGTAAGTGGCCTGAAATCTATGCCAGAAGCATCCTCTGGACTCTTAGCAATTTCCTGTTCAGCCCCCAGGCAGGCACTGAGAATGGAGGGCAAGTGCCTCGACCAGAAATGCCCTTTTAACATATGGAACAAAAATGGGAATGTTGTAAATTCCCCAAGAAGTAGTGTATAAATCTTATCTAATATTACTTTTGCAATAGCCAAGAAATATTCAAAAAACAGTAAGCTGAAAGAGGGGAATCTATCTTGCCAGATATCAGAACTATAAACCTATAGATTTCTTAATCTAAGTCTAGAAAAAGACACATGTACATGTGAAATTATTGTATCATAAAGGTGGTGGTTCAAATTGGAGGGCAGGGCCGATTATCTTTGATCCCTGTATTGCCTTAAATATAAAAATAAATTCCAGATAAATTAAAGCAAATAAAAACAGACTAATGATAAAAGTACTAGAAAAAAATAAAGAATAGTTTTAGAATGAAGGTAAGAAAAACTTAACATAAAGATATAAGAGTAAAGTTTAAAAAGTGAAAAGCTGAAGGAAAAATGGTTTTTGAGAAGTGGAAATAGTGAGTCAAAAAACAGGCCAATTCTTTCTGTAACATCTTCCTATGTTGACAGGTAGAAACTGTACTAAGTGGGGGTGAGGATTTAATAATATGGACAACTGTTGAACCACTGTGTTCAATATTTGAAACCAATATAAGATTGCATATCAGTGATACTTCAATTAAATATATTAATTTTAAAAAAGGCCTATTCTTAAAGCTCCTGATAGATGTTGCCAAATCATTATCCCAAAAGGTTGTAACACTTATTATTACATAAGGAACTCTTAGAAAAGGAAAAAGAAAAGAAAAAGAAAAAGAAAAAGAAAAAGAAAAAGAAAAAGAAAAAGAAAAAAACACTACTCTGCTAAAAAGTTTAGACAAAAAAATGTACAGACACCTCACAAAAGAAATACAAATAAAATAGAAACTGTTCTATACTGCAGTGCCAAGAGGACTCCGTGGAGGAGGAACAGTCTTCCCGACCAACAGCGATGAAAAGGGTAGGTGACCGACGTCCACACACCAAGAGAATGAAGGTGGACCCTTCTTCGCACCGTTCTAAATATTAACTCAAGATGAATCAAAGACCCAGATGTGAGAGCTAGAACTATAAATCTCTTAGAAAAACCACAGGAATAAACCTTCATGACCTTGAATTAGGCAATGGATTCTCAGATATGTCACCAAAAGCACAAAAAAAACCAATAAACTGGACCTCATTAAAGTTAAAAACTATTACATTTCAACAGGAGAGCACTGAGAAAGTGAAAGACAACACAAAGGAGAAAAGATCTACAAATCATAGATGTAATAACGGGCATGCAAAGAACTCTTATAGCTCAATGACAAAAAGACGACCTAATTAAAAAATGGGCAAAGGATCTGAACTTTTCCCAAAGACAACATACAAATGGTCAATAGACACATGAAAAGATGTTCGACACCATCACCGGTTAGGGAAAGGCAAATCAGAACCACAAGACACATTTCACACCCACCAGGGTGGCTACAATTAAAGAACCGGTGGAAAACACGTATTGGTGAGCACGTGGAAGACCTGGAGCCCTCAACTGGAGCCCTCATACACTACTGGCGGAATATCACAAGGTGCCACCACTTTGGAAAACGGTCTGATAGCTCCTCAAAAAGTTAAACCTAGAGTCACCATATGACCCAGCAACTTCCCTCCTGATTATATGCCCAAGAGAATGAAAACGTGTGCACAGATGTTCGTAGCAGTTTGTTGTTCATAAGAGCCAAAAAGCAGAAACAAATCAAATGCCCATCAACAGACGAATGGAAAAAAAAAAGTGATCTATCCAAAGTGGGGTATTATTTCACCATAAAAAAAGAACTATGGACACCTGCTACATCACGGATGACCTTCGAAAGCTTGATGCTCAGTGAAAAAAGCCAGTCACAGAGGACCACATTCATGTAATTCCAGTTCTATGAAACAACCACAAATAGTGAATCCATAGGGACAGAAAACAGATCGGTGGCTGCTTCGGCTGAGGGTCCAGGGAAGTGAGGAGTAACCGCTGACAGCACAGGGTTTCTTTGTGGTGTGATGAAGATGCTCTGACCTTGAGGGTGGTAGTGGTTGCACAATATACTGAATACACTGAACTGCGTGTTTTAAAGGGGGAAATTGGACGGTGTGAGAATTTTATCTCAACGAAGCTGTTTTTAAAAAGTTATTTCTCACTCATCATCAAAAAATGATGAAATTAAAATAGAGACACTTTTGGGTACCAATATGACCAAGATAAAAAAAATTACTGCTGAGGGTGTAAATAAACAG